AAGTTCCTCGGAAAGAATTTAATACCGGAAATTAACAAACGAGCAGATACGTAACAGTACGAATAATTTAACCACGATAATAGTGTAATCATTGTGGGATGATGCGTGTGAAAAAGTAGTTTAACTTTGATTTCAATTATTTTGAGATTGGGCTATTATTATATCTTTGGTTATGATTGTACTGTGAAATATATATATTTTTTTCAGTTATTTAGGCCCAGACAAAACTAAAAACGTTCGGCTGTCACAAATCAAACGAGATATAAAATTGTTTCGTCACTAATTATAATAGGAACATAGGGAGGAAAACGAAAAGTTTCAAGTCAATTTTATCAGCTGAAAAACTGTCTTTTTTTGTAGTTTTCGACAAATAGCAGAATAGAGATCTATATTGCTACATGGGTATAACAATTTATTATAGTCTTTATAAAAAAAATAGTATTTAATTACCTGCATCTATTATCATGTTAAGTTTTATTTTTGATCAAAGTAGATAACTTGCTCTGATCGGAATTTAACATTAAATACTATTGTACACACACGCGCGCTAAAATCCCACTTGATGTAATTAAACGCTTGTATTATTTAAGTGCTAAAAAGTATAAGGAATTATAATGATCAGAATAGAAGTTGTCTGGTTATATATTTGAAGAAGTGTGTTCTTTGACAAATCATTTAACTGATTACATTATAACTTTTGGATAGATAACAATAAACTTTTGAACTGTGTTTCTTATAACACAACCATTCCACCAAAACTAACATTTACTTAGTGATGCTTTACAATACCTTCTTCTTATTGAACAGTAGCCTAGATCAGTGTAGATGTCAACCCACAAATTGTCTAAAGATGGAGAAAATATACGGGTTACCATTGTTATTTATTTTAGTTACAAGCTTTTAAGTATTTTTTAAAAAACTTAAAGAAAAAAAGCTATGCTACTGTAAACAAACTATAAAATGCCAACACTACTGTCCTCCCTCTCTATTTTACGGACTTACAACGCTAGAATCCGGGGGTTCGATTCCCCCGCGATGGTTAAAGCACATACAGATCATTGTGTAGCTTTGGCCCGAAACAACAAGGTGTACATGCATTCTAATATTAGGTAAATATATAATACCGCGTAAAATAATATCTATATAAATATAATAGTACTGTCTACCCATGTAGCTACTTCGCCCCCTGTTGATGGATCTTCACCAAAATTTGGCATGAAGGTTTTTTATGTCCATGCGGAAATACATGCAAAGTTGTGGTTTCACATTTTATGTTTCACAGTTTTTATGGGTGTTTTTTTACAAATACGTATAAGAGAAGAAACTTTTCATGTCCTAAGATAACCTTTCATTAATCATGAACTAACATAACTTTCGACCAGGGTACGGGTACTCCAGCTAGTTTTACAAGATAATATGTTTTGGAAAGACGTTTCACCACTTTCACGTATCCTCTTCATTCCATCTTTAGCATATTTTATAGCAGAAGTTCAAAGTTGCTTCTGGTTATATGACGTCAGAAAAGGCTTCAACTTTAAAGTGACCTTCAGAGGGGTTAAAGTTTGGCAATCTTTGAATATGCGAGTTTTCCACAATTCTTCGTTTGACATGATTTTTAGTTTTACATATTATTTTGAATTCCAGTTGATTTGATGATCAAGATTCCCGATGTGCTGAAAAATAACATGTAAATGTTGCAGGTTACTGGTTGTTATCCCTAAAAAAAATGTCATCCTTGCCTGGTGATGGGCATATTTGATAAAAACTATGGTGTACTGTAACCGTTCGAAAATTGTATTTCTATAAGCCTTTAAAAACACTAAATTGAGAGTTGAGTTTAACCGTTTTGTGATATTATGAAAAATGTGAACGAAGCTTAAAGGGTATTTTGGTTTTCTATAAATGGAAAGAACGGATCCAAAAACTGGAGGAAATTATTGGTTTCCCTTTCCATGTTTTTTTTACTTAATAGTCATGTGCAGATTGTTAATCTTCTGAGAAAAGTTCGAAAATAATTTGTATTATTTGGCAAAACAGAAAATACGTCATCAACATATTAGAAAATGGGGATTTCCGTAGTATTCATATCCGCTAAAGTAATTGACTAACCTTCAAAATACCTCATAAAGATGCTACTTATAATTAGGGTTAAAGATTTGCCCATACCCATACAAAGTTATTTTTAAATATCTCAAAACTATTAAAAATTTTTTACCCTCAAACAAATCTTTGCCTCGAGGCAAAAGAACAGTACAAAAGTTGGACTGAAGAGGACACATGAAAGTGTAGAAGCTTGTTATTCTAAACTTTTTATGAAAATATCACATATCTAGTTTTCTAGAGAAGTGTGTGGAAATTTTGTGTTAGTTATTTAAAAAATAGATTGAAATTAAATTTTACTTCTGTTAAAATATAAGTGGATATTAAGAAAAGTAGAAAATAAAAACTTTGTATTTCTATCTCGTTAAATCCCTCTGACATGAATATTCTCCATCAATTCCCAAGCCATCTAGAATTATTAATTTTTTCTGGTATGAACGCCTTTTTTAAGCCGGTGAAGCATAATTATAACTAATAATACTTGTAATAAGACATTAATATAATAGTTATTATATTTCGCACATTATATTATTTATTCAGTCCCTAACGGTTTTTGAAAAAGTGTACTTAGACGACATTAGGCCTAATATTAATGTCTCATGACAAGTATAAACAGTTCGTTGTTCCTTCGAACTTGTGCTGTTTTATTGTTACTATTAAAATAGCTTTATAAATACAACAAAAACACGTGTAACAAACTTGAAGTTAACACTTGAATTGATAACCTTTGATTTTTGACGTTACAAAAATATTTATACTTTGCATATTTCTCAAGCCGCCGTTATAAAAACACCGAATTAGAAGCTCGAACAGAAACTAACAATTGTGTTTGAAATTTTGCACAAAGCTACACAAAGGTTTATTTTGAATTTCGCGCAAAGCTACACGAGGGTTATCTGCGCTAATTTAGCAGTGAAAGACTAGAGGGAAGTCATCACCACCCATCGCCAACTCTTGGGCTACTCTTTTACCAACGAATAGTGGG